CCCCACACTCCACTCTCTACCCTACACCCAGTTAGCAGCGCACAACCGAAACAGCCTCCCAGAGGCCAGCGCCAACCACCCAGATGAAGAACAGATCCGGTGATGAAGTTTTCAGTGCCGATGAACAACTTTGACGAAGAAACCGGCAGCTATGGTTGCCGCCACCCACAAACACTCAGTGAGGAGCCTCGGTATAGCCTGGCCAGACGCAGATACCCCCAGGGGTAGATGCGCTGAGGTTGCCCCAGCTCCAGCAACCTTCATAGGGCCGGCTATGGCTGCCATCCAGCAGCAAGGGTCTGTAGACAATTGCCACCGCCAACTTGCTTGGCTTCTCCAACCGCTGCTTCGCGAAAATGAACAGCCAAAAGTCCCTAGCAGTCCTACGCCAACCTACTTGTAGATTCTACACTACTCTAGCCTAGGGCCTACCAGTACCGTTTCAGTTAGGGCCTACTCGGCCTCTACGAAACCGGTCCTACTGCTGCACTTAGGGCTTAGGGCCACTTAGGGCCGGTAACTACTCAGTCCCTACTGCTGTTAGTCCCAGCTATTTTTAGAACAGCGGGCGGCTCTCAGTGCAAACCAAAAAAACACAGGAAAGCACACAGCACACACACACAGCGGTACACAGTACAACCTTGCAGTCAGTCTCGGCAGTCGAAATCAGCAAGTCATTGCATGGCGGCCTTTGGGTGCCTCTTACCTAATTTGAACCCTGGCCTACCAACCTAAGGACGGTCTGGCACCTGTTCAGAGGCTGTGGGTGTGACTTTGACCGCAGAACTTGACTAGACAAAAGTTACGATCCTAGCATCTGTGCGGATTTTGAACGTGGTTGATTGCAGTTATGCCCATAAAAAGGTTGGGCCTATGTTATGTGCCCAGTCCTGGAGGCAACCTATTGTTGTGCCCACGAAACGGAATGTTTGAATTTTTGGTGCAGCCAGGTGTTAGTTGAACTTGTTATACCCTTTCACCAGGATGTACAAATAGCTGGTGTACGGAGGCCCGGGTCAATTTCTTGTCACTCACATGCCGGAGGCACGGAGTACAAAATTTTGACATACCCAGGTACTGCTGGGAGCCATCTCCCCTCCCCCTTACCCTCCCCCTCCTCCTGCTCTTCCTCCTCCCCACATCGGCACAGGCAGCCTAAAGAATGTGAAAGCAAGCACCATCCAGCCTCCCTAAACTCCTTATTGTCCTACTCCTCCCCCCCAAGTTGAGGAAGGGAACAAAAAAGGCGTGAAGGCAACTACCATCAAACCTCCTCCCTGCAGGCACGCACATCTTGAGAAAGGCAACAGAAGAACGTGAAAGCAATCACCATATCCCCTCCCCCGTCTTCCTCCCTCCTTTCCACATTCAGGACAAACCTAAAAGCAAGTGCCATCCAACCTTCCAGAGTCCACAACAGCAAATGGTGTGCCTCTTGGGCACAGCACAAAGGCCCAACATCCTTTTGGGCATAACAGAAAATTTCCCCCCAGAAAACCGCTTTGAGATGACCCTCAGTCACAGGCTGTCTTACCATTTCCAGACTTCTCTTCATGAAAAAAAAAAGAAATTCCAACTTTATCTGGACCATGGGACCTGAAGTGCCTCCACACGCACTGGATGGCCGTCAGGAAGCCCAGACAATATGCATGAAACAAACATGCAACCTGGCCACCTCTAATTACCTTATGGGCTGCTTCGATATTGATGGTGACAATAGCCTGTTCTCGATCTGGAAGGTTCTGCCGAAGAACACAAGCCCCGCCGTTGACATCAATGGATGTCAGTGCCTCTGTCTGCTCAATCACCAGATAACCACCTGTTGGAAGCTCAACCCTTCATGCAGAATGCACCACCCAGCCCAGATATCATTTGGGCGTTCCCAGCCGATGCTCCCCCATGCACACATGAATACCACACATTCAGAGAGAGAGCCATTTTCACATGCATAAGCATGTTTGCACGCTGGTAGAACCCCTCAGGCATAGGTTATCGCATCCACATAACAAAGATCGCACTGACACAAGGGAACACAAAACATGCAATTAATTACAAGATACACAAAACCCATGTACATGAACACCTAATGACTGCACATCCGCATTTATCGAGTCATATCAGCTTATACCCATTTTGTCTTCCCAACACCCAGCATTTTCCTCCCTCCCTTCTGTCATTCCCGAAATCCCCATTATTCCCCATCCCTCTATCTTCTGTGTCTGCTTCGCCTTCTCACCCCTCAATATCCAAAATAGTTGCATTGACCAAAGTGCGAAAACTATAAGAAATTGGTTCAAGAAGTACTGAAAACGGAGCTAGTGGCCAAGAAATGCCTTGAGGAAAGTTGAGGCAATAAAAAAAAAAGTTCAAAAAACTCAAAATTATGAAGTCCACGAGTTTGAAATCCCACTTAGTAACCACGCATATATCGATTCCGCCTAAATCGTGCAATGCCTGAAAAAATGAAAACCTTCGATGGGACCGGCCGTTCGGCTGCTCGCATCAGCGCGCGGCTCTACGATGCCAGGTCACACAAGCCGCCCTAGTTATCGTGTGGCGCTGCCGTGCAACACCCGGGTTAGTCACACTCACTCTCAAATGGGTTGTCACACTTTCTCTCAAATGGGTTGTCACACTCGCTCTCGAATCCCTGACGCGAAAAGGAGTTTGAGAGTTGTCAGAACAACCCATTTAAGAGCACTCTCAAACTCCTTGGGAGCGCCTGCCTGTAACCCAGCGTTTTCAAGAGAGCTCAGCTGCACTACCTGTGCAGCCCCGGAAGTTGAGAGTGTGCAGTGTCAGTTTTGCCTTGCTGCACGCTTCAGATATTCCTCTGGCAGGCCCTAGGAGTTCGAAAGTGCAGGATTCAAGAGCGCTGTACGGCTAGGAGCACTCTCAGTTGCGATTTCTCTAATTCCAAAGTTCGAGAGTACTCTCAAACTTTTTGCCAGATTCGAGAGTGGTGTGGTGAGGCCCATTGTCTCAAGGCTGGGTCCTACATCAAGAATCTAACAGGACCATAGCAATTTGGAATCAGAGTAGCCCTTGGTTGCTGAAGAGAGGTAAAAACTCACCCTAGCCCCTTCTGAGGCTGAAGGGTAGAAGTAAGCTAAGATGCGCCTCGAGGGATATGTGAGACTGCACACAAAAAAAAGCTGCATAGCATTGTCGTGGGCCCCTATTGCCTGTTACAAATCAACCTTACTGAGGTGGGCTCATGCACAACGACAAATCCAGGCCATCTCTTGGAAGTGGTTTAGCAAGGGGTAGCCCAGCACCATCCAGCAAAACTTACAGGCCCATATCCTTGGCTAGACCTATCATTGAGACACCTTGGAGTGCAAGTTACCAGGCTGCTGAAATCTATACTTCTTGTGTGTGCTACAGGCTTCTGGGAAGCAGCCCTAAGCCAAAGAGCGCAGCACTGGATCATTCTACTCTGGTGTTGCAGCTGACGGCTATGGATCCCTACTTTCAGCAGCATCCACCACTCGAAGACAGTTCACTAGAGATTAGTAGATTTCCAGTTAACCTGTAAGTACACATGAGATGGCAACTTGGCATGTCAGTACCAGAAGTACCAGAACTTTCCCCTGTGCACATATGGGAGTGAAAAAAACAATTGTGTTGCTAAGGTGATGTTCATTGGTTCTCCACTTGGCAAAGTGAACATTCATCATGGAACAAACAACAGGTTTGTCTTTCAACAAACAACAAACCTCTTGCGTGAAAAATTCTTGATCTGGTCCTCGATGCCGAAGTGATCAAAAATTGGTTCCCGGCACTGGTATAGTTCCAGCTTTTCAGCGAGATGAGGTGCCCACTCCTCCAGCTGAACAAGTGCCTGGAAACCATTCAAACGAGTGAGCCACCCAACAAATTAAGACTATATACTCTGCCAACCCAAATTCTTCCAAACATTGATGGGGCTGAGGAATAGCTCGTTACCTCCACTTCTGAGGGCATGACACGCCAATATCATACACATCAATCAGATGGTGTGCATAACAATTGCAAAGAGCAAGTACATCAATCCAAGCTGATACACACCGGTGAGTACAGAGAAGGCCGAATATAGAAATTGGAAGAGGGAGATGATATCGCCGACACCTCCAAGTCCCTTGCAACAATGAAATTAATTCAAAATGGAAGCTAGAATCGATATCCTGTTGTCCACAAACACAAATGCATCAGTCCTTCCCACCAAACACCAGCATCAAGTTAAGAACCCATATAGTAATGATCAACTCTTCTCCAAATGAAATACATAACTCTGTTATGATCCTGGCCAATTTCTAGATACACATCCATCAGATAGTACAATACTGCCCAATTGCAGAAAGAAATGAATGAACTTGAGAGGAGAGAGAGGATTAGAAGAAGAAGAAGTAGTAAGAAAGAAGAAGAAGATGATGTACACCAGCATAGACAAATGACAAAGCTCCTCTTCTTCGCCCAACAATCTCCTCCTCCTTATCTCCCCCTTCTCTTATTCATACAAGAAATAATAATACAATGTTGAATTGTAGTAACCCTGTTCAGAAGTAGCCCGGGGCCCAGAACTCAGCCCCTGGCTACGCAGACCAGAACTGGTCTGCGCTGGGCTGTGTGACCAACACATGCCCAGATCTGAGAAGGCCGCACTTGGCTGTGGGACCAAGTGCTAAGCTCAGGAAATTCAAGAGTCAAAGTCAACTGTTAAGTCAAAGGTACCACGCCAGGCCCTTGGTTGGATACATCCACTTGTTGTGCGCAGGTACCCAGGCATGCATCCAGGCCAAAGAGGATACAGTTTCAGATCGATCCAGGCCCTTATCAGTGTCAAGATCTGGACGGCTGGAATCAGCAGCAGCCGGGGTCCAGACCCCGAGTCAACGCTACATAAGCATGGACTCCCTGGCTTTGACATTCATTCATTCGGTCTTGCGTTGACACTGCCTCTACGCGTTGATGACGCGACGCTGGCTGGCCGCTGTGACGCTGGTGGACGCTGGCATTGGCGAGATGGTGGCAACGCGCTGCTGGCTAGTATGCTGACTGGCTGGCTACCGTCTACAAGACTGGCTGACGTGGCAGCTGCCACACATTGTTGCTGAAGTGGCTGCTGCCACGTGTGACTTAGCCGGGTCTCTGCTTCATCGTCGCTTCAGGAGGAGATCGGAACTGTGAGGAGATTGTGGATACGTATCGGGGATCTTCATGTCGATGTTACTCCAGCGCTGATGAGAGGTTGATTGGGTGCCACATGGCACATTGTAACAGGACTTCGATATGTGTTCAGAGTACTGGTTATTGTGAGGTGGCGGTCAGGGAAGGAGCCCGGAGAAGGAGTGGGCATTTTATCTTCCTCTCCTTTGTCTCATCTCCCTCCTCCCTCTTCGTCTGTGTATGATTATCTCACCTCCTTCTTTCTGGATACTATTCGATTACTGGAAATTATCAGCGACTTGACATTCTGGACTAGCATTGTTGACAATCGTATTCATGATCTGGGTTCATTACAGAATGGCTGATCCAGAATCAATGTCCGAGTTCCTCTTCTACTGCAGGTATCACTTGAGGTCCACCATAGCCATGGCCGCCTCTCCCACTCTCCATTCTCATAGGCCGAGGCTATGGCGGACTACTAGGCTATGCCCAGATGCCGAAAGGACAACCCAAAGCAGCTATGGCTGCTCTAGCTCAGGCCGCCATGCCTGACCCTGCCTTGAAGCTTCTTGGTGTGGCTCTCCCCAGTTGGGGACTCACTGCTGCAGCGCCCACCAAGGTGATGAAGATGCCTGCCACCATAGCCAGGTAAGTACCCCTGGCGCTCCTCCCCCTTCCTTCCTTCTTCCTCCCTCGTGTCCTTCTCCTTCCTCCCCAGCAGCGCTGCTCCAGCCAGCGCTCCACCAGTGTGTCGCCAAACTTGCACACCGAAAGAGAGGCCGGGCTCTTCGCCCGGCTGGGAGATATAGCGGCCTGCTTGCCTCTTCGGGCGGTGACTTCCAGGCCGCTCGGCCTTCCAAGCAACCGGTACCTCCTCCCTTTCAGAGGGAAACATCATTGCAGACTCTGATATTGCCCGTACAGGCCCTAGACCCAGACTGGTTGGACTGGTATCCACCTAGACCTAGCCTACAACTACTGGGCCTCTAAAAATGCCACTTTTGTCTTCTTCTGCTCGCCTGCAGTACCCGCACATCTACCCCTTCAGGGTGCGGTACCGGCCTACCCGCTACTTGAGTGTTTTTCCTGCTGCAATCCCTCAATGTCACGGCCAAAGGTAAGTACCGGCCCTGAGGGCCCAATGAACGAGCAAGTGGCCTTGTGGGCCACACACACACTCAAGCCAACCAGCACTCAGACAGGCACGGCCACACACACACTCGAGCCTACCAGCACTCAGACAGGCACGG